GAAAGAAAGAAAGAAAGAAAGAAAGAAAGAAAGAAAGAAAGAAAGAAAGGCGGTAGTCCCTGGAACTTCTCTCTCCTATCGAAAGGCCGCGTGAAACAGTGACTAGAGACAGTGGGTTTTGCAGGTTGGGTCCTTCCAAAACTCTCCGTATTGTTAAAAGCTGAGAGAACCGGTTTGTGGGCTTCACCACACTTGCACCGGATCAGTGTCCCCATCAGGCCTCAGCCCAGGCTCCTTATCCTTTCAAACCTTTCGTTCATTTCGTTCCCTCTGGCTGAACCCTGCACTCCATCTCTGCGCCTCCCATTTCATCCCCACCCCCCACTCCCTGTCTGTCTTCCAGTCAAATCCCTATTTATAGATTATATATTGGGTCCGCCCATGAAACCTTCTCCATTCAGCCCACACCCCCTTGGTAACACACTGTATGACCCTAAAGGAAGGTGTCCGTGTTTCACATATGTAAAACACACTGTATGACCCTAAAGGAAGGTGTCCGTGTTTTACGTGACCTGTGATCAGCAGCTGGAGGGCTGCTGTCACCTTCAATTATCTCCTGACACTAGACAACGCTATTTGTGAACACCTTTGCCGTGTCCACTGTACATTCTCCATCAAAACAGAAGGGCACAGACAACAAGTAGGTTTTGGTTGGGAATTACACGTGCTATTTTTAAAAATTGGAAGTGAATTTTGCCTAATGGTTATAGGAAACAAATAAAAGATGACTGTATCAGGTGAAAGATATTCTTGCACCTTAACTTTCAGGGTTTCTTTTCTGTTGGGTCAAAATTTTATATATCATGTCACTTTTTGCATTTAAATATTTCAAATGGAGATTCTTTGAATCAATCAGTGACTGGGTGGACGGATAAGACAGATGAATAAGGGCAGTGGAAGTTTTGAAAGAGCTGGGTTAAAGCGCTTGTATTTTAATAGTATTCTAAATTTAGCAATTAGAGCTTGATTAAAGATAATTAAAGGCTAGGACTACGGCTCAGGGTAGAGCACCCTAGCATGTGAGGCCCTCAGGTGCATTCCCAGTTCAGGAAGAAAAAAAAAGGAATTAAAGCATGAATGGCAGCGTATACCTGTAATCTCAGCATTTGATAGATGGGGCAGAAGGACTTGGAGTTCAAGACCAGTTAGACTACATGAGATCCTGTCTCAAATATTAAAATTAAAAATTAAAAAGCCAAAACTGGGAAAGATAACTAGCTTAGTTTAGATTATACCACCCTATATCAGAATCATGCTGCTGCTGCTGTCTCTCTCTCTGGCTAAAACAAGGTCTTACTATGGCTGACCTGGAACTCAGAGATCTGCCTGCTTCTGTCTTTCGAGTGCTGGGATTAAAGGTGCTGCCCCAGAAATTGTGATTCAGGAAGTCTTGCTCGGTGTAGCCTACATGTCAATAGAGTTCTGCACATCCCAACGTGTGCAGAAAGGGTCCTGTTGGTGTGTGAGACGTTGCTGGGGTTTTTATGAAAGCTAAAAGCAATGGAAGGGCTGGGGAGATGGTTCCATCAGGAAAGTACTTGCCGAGAAAATCTGAGGGCCTGAGCTCAGACACCCAGAGCTGGAGAGGGGAAGGAACAGGGAGTTTATGACCACCCTGTCTGGCAGAATCGGTGCACTCCTGTTGAGTAAGAGACCCTGTCTCAAAAATAAGGTGGAGGGGGGCTGAGATCAGGCTCAATGGTTAAGAGGCTCTTGCAGAGGACCTGGGTTCAATTCCCAGAATTCATATGGTGACTCACAACCAGCTATAACTCTAATTCCTGGGGATCTGACACTCTCTTCTGCGTCAGAGGACACCAGCATACACAGTGAACATATGTACATGTAAAAGTAAAGTAAAAATAGAATAAAGAAATCTTTACCAAAAAAAAAAAAGACGGAGCGCATAGACTCCTGGCCTCCACACATACTCACATACACTACACACATGCATGCATACACACAAACACACCACACGTATACCACACACATGCATACACAAGCACAAACACCACAAACATGCATGCACACAAACGCATATACAAAGTCATGGAGTTGGAGCCATTGCTGAAACTTGTAAAGAAACTGACAATAAGGAAGTCATGTGTTTCCCTTTGATGTTTCAGGGAGACATAGGATCAGACATCACAGGCAGTGCTCCACCTGTCTCTCCACTGGGGCTCCATGGTTTTGTTTGCTTGGTCAGTTGGTTTCTTTCTTTCCAACTTATTCTAAATGACTTACTAACCTGTCCCTAGATCAGTATGACACAGAGGGTCTCTTACTGGTGCTTTTGCCTTGACCTCTCTTTCTCCAGTCCTGCTCAAAACAGCTTCTCCTACTGACAGAAAGTGTTATATCTGCACTGGTAGGAAGTCACTGGCTGTGTATGAGCAGCGTGTGAACCATGTGTGAGCTATGTGTGAGCCACTGTTGAGCATGTGGAATGTAGCTAATGGACTGGAAACTGTATTTAAAATTTTACCTTATAAAAGTTAGGTTTGAGTAGTAAATTTATTAGCCGATGGCTCAGTATGCTCAAGGCAGCATCTCTGACTCAGTCTGTCTCCTTAAGTATATCCCATATGTACATGACTCCTGTTCTGACTCCAGAGCCTAGGAGATCCAGGACAAGTCAGACCTCCAGGACCCTCTTGAAATGACTTTTATTTGGCATGTGGCCTTGTTTGTTTATTTTGAAATAAGCTCTCATATAGCCCAGGCTGACCTCAAACTTGC